AATAATACTTATCATAATAATAATCGTAACCGAGGTTCTACCTCCAGTGCTGAAGAAGATACTGTAGCTTTATCATCGATAGATTCAAAGAATCATGTAATATCATCAAGTTCAAAATTTAATTCTACTACTTATGGAAAAAAGGGAAGCGGGAGAAGTAATGATGAAAAAAATGAAGGAGAAAGAAGTCATAATGTGATTTCTGTCATTGAAGATAATGATTATGGTGATAACAGTAGTAGCAGTAACAGCGACAATTTTTATGATAAACCAAGAAAAAATGGTCATAAACTAGAAATTATTAAACGTATTAATGAAGAAGATTTGGCAAAATCAGCTTTAAGTATTTACGAGAAATATGGTCACATGAATATCTTACCAGAAGAAAGTAGAACTACAATGCAAGATCTCATTGAACGTCAAGGAAGATACAATCCTGTGGTGTTCTCATCTGCCAAATCATACGTTTATCATATAATGAATGTGATATATTTCCCAAAATTTATTCAATCAGCTATTGACATAAACATTTCACAACTTCATGCCATAATAGCTTTACCATTGGGAATAATTGCTTTGACAAGTGGATTTGCGTTTGAGCTTTATAGTATTTTTGTCGGAATAGATAATAGATTGGCAAGATTATGGGCTTTTCCTGCTATATTAATAGGTTGGATATTATTACAGACTGCTGCTACTAGATTTTCACCTTTACTCGTACTTTTCAATTTTTTAGTGAACAAAGTTTTCTTTTGTTTCAAAGAATTAAAGAGAAACCAGTGATAAGTGCACATAAAAAAAGAGCACTAACATTCATTATGTGGGATGCACTTGCTGCAGTATTGACACTTGGTATATTATTTGCTATACCTCCAATTGCGTTATATGACACATAAAATAATTGATAATTTTTTTTTATTTTTGGGGCACTTTTCGAGGGGGGACAATTGGTGAAAGAAATTTTTTGATAAAATTTCTTGAAGGGTCAAAACAAAAAAACATTTTTTATTTTTAAAACAATATCATAAATAGAAACAGCAATAACACTTAAATCAATCCTTAAAACAAAAAATAATATGTATTTTTACTAGCAAATTTGAATAGAGTGGA